CCTGCCCGTGCGCATCCCAGCTCGGGTCCCGCCTGTCTGCGGCGAGCGGGCGGGGACGTCTCCTCGGCCCGCCCACGGGCAAGGTCAGCTCGCAGCCCCCTTTTCTCGTAGAGCCGCGGGGGCGTGACTCCTGCAGGAGTAGAGGGACCGACAGGACCCCCTGGATGGGGGTGGAGGCGCGGCCATGCTAGTGGAAACGTACCCCGCCTCCAGCCTTTCCTTGGAGGGGGCCAAGCCACACAGACCCACTCCTCCCATCCCCGTGCCCTTCAGCACCCAGACACCCACCTGGAGAGGACTGGGCCCGCCAGAGATGGGGGGGAAAGAAGAGAAGGGCGCCCAGACCCTGAGCACCCCGCGCTCATCCGATGCGGTTCCCCCCGCTTCCAGGTGTAGCGCCCGGGCTCGGTGCCGGAGGCTGGGCGTCTCCAACATGACCCGCCGGAGCCTGTGGGACGTGTCGGAGGCCAACGTCGAGGACGGAGACATCCGCATCAACGTCGGGGGCTTCAAGAGGCGTCTGCGCTCGCACACGCTGCTGCGCTTCCCGGAGACCCGCCTGGGCCGCCTGCTGCTCTGCCACTCGCGCGAGGCCATCCTCGAGCTCTGCGACGACTACGACGACGTCCAGCGCGAGTTCTACTTCGACCGCAACCCCGAGCTCTTCCCCTACGTGCTGCACTTCTACCACACGGGCCGGCTGCACGTCATGGCCGAGCTGTGCGTCTTCTCCTTCAGCCAGGAGATCGAGTACTGGGGCATCAACGAGTTCTTCATCGACTCCTGCTGCAGCTACAGCTACCACGGCCGCAAAGTGGAGCCGGCGCAGGAGAAGTGGGAGGAGCAGAGCGACCAGGAGAGCACGTCGTCGTCCTTCGACGAGATCCTGGCCTTCTACAATGACGCCTCCAAGTTCGAGGGGCAGCCCCTGGGCAGCTTCCGGCGGCGGCTGTGGCTGGCGCTGGACAACCCCGGCTACTCGGTGCTGAGCCGGGTCTTCAGCATCCTGTCCATCCTGGTGGTGTTGGGGTCCATCATCACCATGTGCCTCAACAGCCTGCCGGACTTCCAGATCCCCGACAGTCAGGGCAACCCTGGCGAGGACCCCCGGTTCGAAATCGTGGAGCACTTCGGCATCGCCTGGTTCACGTTTGAGCTGCTGGCCAGGTTCGCAGTGGCCCCTGACTTCCTCAAGTTTTTCAAGAACGCCCTCAACCTTATCGACCTCATGTCCATCGTCCCCTTTTACATCACTCTGGTGGTGAACCTGGTGGTGGAGAGCACGCCTACCTTGGCCAACTTGGGCAGAGTGGCCCAGGTCCTGAGGTTGATGCGGATTTTCCGCATCTTAAAGCTGGCCAGGCACTCCACTGGCCTCCGCTCCCTGGGGGCCACCCTGAAATACAGCTACAAAGAAGTCGGGCTGCTTTTGCTCTACCTCTCCGTGGGGATTTCCATTTTCTCCGTGGTGGCCTACACCATCGAAAAGGAGGAGAACGAGGGCCTGGCCACCATCCCCGCCTGCTGGTGGTGGGCCACCGTCAGTATGACCACCGTGGGGTATGGGGACGTGGTCCCGGGAACCACAGCAGGGAAGCTGACCGCCTCTGCCTGCATCCTGGCGGGCATCCTAGTGGTGGTACTGCCCATCACCTTGATCTTCAACAAGTTCTCCCACTTTTATCGGCGCCAAAAGCAGCTTGAGAGTGCTATGCGCAGCTGTGACTTTGGAGATGGGATGAAGGAGGTCCCTTCTGTCAATTTAAGGGACTACTATGCCCATAAAGTTAAATCCCTCATGGCGAGCCTGACAAACATGAGCAGGAGCTCGCCAAGTGAATTAAGTTTAAATGATTCCCTACAGTAGCAGGGAGGACTTGTCCTCAAATCCACGTTGTTGAGCTGCCTCTCGGGCCTCTGGCACAGTCCAGGCACCTTGGGGTTGTGGCATAAGGAGTATGGCCAGCCCCAGAGGGGAGAGATGCATGGGCATTGCATCCAGGTTGCTTCTACAGTAGTTAGAATCATTTTTAGAGGGTGGTGTGCCTGGCACCATGCCTTCGCGCCTTTCAGTGAAATGACACTCACTGGTGTTGGCATCACGGGCATAACATGTTCGCCTTTCTGCTGGACGAATACCCCCCAGAATGCTAACTTTTCTGTTCACCGTGTTCTCGAGTGCTCGTGGTCCAGTACTGTCTGTGAGGTTTCTGTGCTCTTTTTCTAAGGTTGTCATGTGAGATCTGTACAAAAAGCCCCTACATGTCTGTCCAGTGGAAACACATCTATGGGGTCAGCAAGGATATGACGGGATTTTGCTCACGTCACATGAAAACAAAATCTCAGTTTTTTTAATTCATTGCTTTCAAAACAAAGAGAATGTGAAGTTAAGCACATGCCCAATGCAAGTCTGTGAGTTGTGTTATGAATGATCGTAGCTCTGGGACTTGCATGGGTACCTGGTCACCTTTAGAACACTGTGCGTTGATGTTCATCTCTTAAATGTTGCTCTTTAGAGAATGTTACTCTGTTAAACATGTAGTGAAGATAGAAATTTTTTCCCTAGAACAGCTGCTTTAGGGACAGGGGCTTCAACTAAACATAGGCCAGATTGTAGGATGCTTGCAGACTTTTCAAAGGCGGGCCTCTGTCTTTCCTAGGGTGACCGTGCAGGCATTTATTTCTGGCTGAGGTTCCTGGTCTAGCCCATTTGACCAAACTTTGCTGCGTCTTAGATATTAGCATGTTTTTGAAGTATTTATTTTTTAAAATGTTTAGAAATAAGGTCGAATTGTCTTTTTCCACTAAAAAGAGGTTTACCGTTGTGTTGTTTCCCTGAGGAACATTGTTGGGTTGCTAGCAAGGCCAGTAGTTTAGAAATCTTGTTGCCTGTTCTGCAAGCTTGTAAAATGAGGGCCCTTTTATTCCCAAGCAGAGTTTACTTAGGTAATTTTGCTTCTAGGATATAGTATGCTACATGCAATGCTGTAATTTCCTTGTTATGACATGGAAATCTGGTGGCATGGAAGTGTGTACTCAAAATACAGAAATGCATGAAAGCTGTGTTGTTTACCCAGGATGGAAATACTACAATTCCTATTTCCATTTCAACTGCCTTTTGTTGGAGGAGGGTGGGTAGAGGACAGAAAAAGGAAAAGAGCTGTAAAACAAAACATTGCTACTCTCATAAACAATTGTAAATGTCTTGAAAAGCGCAATGCTATTTAAAAGGCCTTTAAACTTCTAAATTTGTGTTGAAGGCTGAGAGCTCTTTCTTTCTCCAAAATGCCTTCCTTCTCCCTCTCCTCCTCCTCGTCCTCCTCCTCCTCTTCCTGTTAATTGGCATATAACATTGTGAAGGGGAACCTGGGCCCCTGTGTAAGATAGTTCTCCATTATCTTCTAGGTAATCAGATGGTTTTACAGTTGGCTTTCATTATGGTTCGGTCTTTGGAAAGGCTGCAAAATCCAGGAGTCTAAGCATGGAGTTAGGCAGGTGTTTTATCCACAGCTTGGGCCTTCCCTGAGCAGATCCATTTTGTGTCTTAGTTGAAAGTAATGAATACCTCATGGGAGTGTGGTGAGGATCTTGTCAGAAGGTTTTGTGTACTTGTAGTTGCTATGGATACTACGGTCCAGGTGATTTGTTGGATGAATGCACTAGTCACATGTGCCCTTGAGTCCCCAGTTCAAATCCTTCCATCAGACGAGCTTTGTGGCGGGTGGGGCGGTGACCATGTCCTGGTGCCTGATGGTCTACCATCTCCATCTGTTTCTCAGAAGCAGGAAATGGTGAGATGACTTAGGGGCAATGGGCCACCCAGTTGGAAGAGCAGGGTTATTTTTCAGAATCTACACATGGAGTATTTGGCTTGGGCTGATGTTTCCAGCACTGGAAGGCAGAGAATTTACAAAATCAGCCTTAGCTGCACTGAAGGAAATTGATGCTACAAACTTGTGAGGACTCTTCAGTTTGCCAAAACGGGTGGTCTCAGGTCACTGAGCGTGGTTGCTATTGTCACTGACCATAAAGTTTGTGAAAAGTAGGAGGCAGAGGAGCTCAGTCGCTCTCATGAGTATTTTTCTAAACAGGCGGGCTTTACCACCACAAAAGAGATACCCATCGTGGTCACTCTTGGCAGATGTGAAAGCTGGAATACTTGACTTTTCATTTTGGTAATGACTTGCATTAATCTGGTGCCTTTCATTAGGGGAATCCCAAAGTGCTTTAGAGACTGTCTTTTTAACCTCTTGTACATAGACATTCTTGTATAAAATTTTACTTTGCCCATCCTGGAATTTCAGTCACTTTTGAGCATGAGACTGTCCTAATAGCATTGAGTTCTCCAAGTGATGGTTTCAGATAAGAGGGAGAGAGAACAACTCAGCTGGCTTGGACATGAGGTGATTCCCACTAAGGATGGAGACTGAACTGTGAGCCTGGAATGAATAACCTTCCTCTCCCCGCGGGTACCACCAAGGTGTGAAGGTCCCAGGTGCTCCCAACTGGGCTTTAATGGATCTTGCTAGACAACATCTTACACAGCCATCTTCTGCTCCCTGGAGCTAATCTGGGAGGGTCAGGGTGATTCTCTGCTCTGTTCCTGGAGTTAAGAATATGCCTATGAAATGACGTCATTGGCCACCAGGCTGTCAGACTGACCCACAAACCTCCTTTGGGGCCACAGCAGAAGCTTCCGACCACTTACCCCAGCTGCTGGCTTGACAGCAGCTTCCCTCCCGACATTTGGAAGTTGTTCTTTTCAATGCTGTTGTGGGGAATGTACACGCCAGGCTTTTCTCACAATGTATGTGATGAGCATTTTGAAAGTGCTGTTTGGGAAGTGATACTATGTCTTCATTGTGTAGACACATATTCCTTATAGGTTTGTGTTTCTGCCAAACCCCCACATTTCCTGGGTTTGCTACTGAGGAGGGGCATGTTGTAATGCCAAGCCGATTTGTAGCTCCTGGGGTAGTAATTGGTGTTTAATATTTGGATTTGTTATTTCTACTTCTCTTAGTCCCCAAATAATTGAACTACCTGCTAATTCTTGCCTCATTTCAGAGAAAATGATCTGTTACGCACTTTGGGATAGCAGTGATCTGTACGGGCTTGTGTGTTATCTCCTTGAAGGCTAACTGGTATTTCTTGTATGTTTTAACAGCATGACTTGTCGCAGAGTTGTAATTTAAAAATTGAGAACACTGCCTTTGCCATGTTGGTTTGAACACTCATTAACGTACCACTGTGCACGCATTGACGTGGCCGCTGCTCCGTCGTATCTGATGACTTACTTCAGGCTCCGTGCCTGGACTCGGTGAGGAGGAACACACACTTGGGACTCCATCTCTGAGTATGCAGATTAAATAGAAAAAAGTGATTTATGCTTCCATAAGGCACTTCAGTTACATACGGAGTGGCAAACACAAGGACGTTCAACGCAGGGGACTGGCTTCCTGAGAAAGGCTGGGCCTTGTGAGCACTGGTTGGGAAGGAGGAGCTGTTATTCACTCTTTGCAGGCACAGGGAGCTGGGCCCCCATTTTTTGCCAGGATCTAGAGCCACGATGCCGCTTTGTAGAAGGAACGGTCACTTATTCTTAGAGCCTGTGTGAAACGCACCCCCACTGCCTTGCTCAGCACCAGAGAGGGGCCTGCCAGGGACAGCCCCGCCCCCCTGGGTGCCATTCCCCCTGCTGCCCTGGCACCTTCCTGACAGTAATTTGGGCACTGGGTAACTTGAGTGTCCTGGCTGGTTTGGTGTGGGTGATGCTGGTGGATACACAGAACCAGCCCTCAGCACCTACTTAACCCACTAGCGACTTAGACTCTGAGCCATTCCAGAGGCCACGGCGAATCTGTGGGAAGATCGCTGGCTAACTGGCTCTACTCCCGCTCAGGCCTTCCATTCTGTGACCTTAGGGCATCACTTGGCCTCTCAGAGCCTTAGATCCCATTGCTGCCAAATGAGAAGCTTGGATGAGCTCATCCTTAAAGCCCCACCCAGTTCACATCTCCATGTAAAACAGAATTTCTGCATGTCTCTACATCCTCATTACAGCAGCGAGCAGATCCCGAATCCACAATGTATCTGTAAGCAGAGCAGAGGGGCTGCTCACACACAACCTGCTGGCTTCCATTTCTCTCTTCAATAGCCAACCACACAGACACCAGTTTCAGGGACAACGATACCAGAGAAAGGCTTGGGCTGGTGCCTGTGCCAGGGGAATAGTTTTAAAACAATCAACGAGGGTCTCCTTTGGGCTTTAGACCATTTACACCTAATCCAAGATCCTGTTACTAAATATTATTAGAGAGGAAAGTCACATTGATCCCATTTGGCTGCAGGACGAGCACTTCGTCTATTTGTGTTTGTTCCCTTAGTAAGGACTGGAGGGTCCCCACCCCTGTTCCCAAGAGGTTATTAGGCCCCAACCAGGGCCCCATAAGTGCACGACGTCAGCTGGGTCTTTCCCATCGCAAACTTAATTCTCACTGAGGACTGGCATCTGCAGGTGTCTGCTCTGCGTAATCAGCAGAAGGGCACAGTGACCTGTGTTAACTCTGTCCCTGGTCTCACAGCCGCTGAGAAAGGGCAGCATGGGGCCTCTGTGCAGCCCGAGGGGGCACATGAGGTTGCCACCAAGTGGGGTCGAGCGCATCTCCTCCCTCCACCGGGTATACATGGATGTTCAGGGATATTTTGGGCCAGGATGCATCTTTAAAGGAAAAACAAACATCTCGTCCTGAGGGAAGAACTTAAACACTGCACTCACATGGTCATGATCTCCTATTCTTTTTAGGAGGACTTTTGTCTGGCGTCTCTACCCAAGGACCTTAGCTGGGTGTCACAGCCAGTTGGTCTGAAAATCTGCACGTTTTCCTCCTTCTGTGACCTCACTTGTCAATATCACCATCTTCCTGGATAAGTTCTCCAAAGCAATGACAGTGTCTGCAGGTGACACGCCGATGCTCTTAGAATATAGACGTAAAGCCTCAAAGACAAGGCCAAGGGGAAAGAGGTACAACAAGGAGGAAAGAGGGCAGCTGTGCCCAGAGCTGGGGCGAGCTCCTACAGAAGTTAAAGGGAGAAGGAAGAAGCCAGGAAAGAGAAAAGAGGGCGCAGAAGGACAGCGTGAATAAAAGAAAAGGCAGAGAGCAATGAAGGGAAATGAGACAATAATGTGGGGAGAATAAGAGAGTATGTTTAGCGAAGTTATTTTAGGTCTTTTGTTGAATTCATTTTATTTTCAGTAACACCCGCCAGAGGCCTCCTGGGAGGTAGCTACTGCTGGAGTCAACTTCCACCCTCTCTACCTGCCACCCCAAACTCCCTCACCAGCGAAGGATGCACAGTCTGGTAGAACAGATATACGGAGACTACTCAAAGCCTTTTGGATGAAGAGGGCAGGAAGGACACAAGGAAAGGAAGGGGAAATGCTTCCTCTTGAAGATGAGACTTCTGGGTTATAAACAGAAAGAGGACCAGGTGTTGGCCAGGCATGGGTGGTGTTAATTAGGGTTAGGAACAGAGAGATGGAGGGAAGAGAAAGGGAAGACACCTTCACGAACAGGGACCTACACAGGCAAAGACCAGGAGGCCCAGGCAGGCCAGCATGTGTGAGGCACATGTAAGGCAGTGTGGCTGAAAAGAAGCAGGGCTCACACCGTCCGGAGAAAAGCCACGGACAGGGCTCGGGCTTCTTTCTTTGTCACTGGGTGGAACACCCTGACCACATTAATGCCTGTGGAACGTGACTCTGGCAGCAGCTTGGAGGCGAAGGGGAGGCCAGCAGACCTATTTGAGGTCATTGCCATAGTGCAGGTTGAATAGAAGGGAGTGGGCTGGAGAGGAAGGGGCAGAGCCAGTTGCCAAGGAGACAGACTCTCTAGGCTCCATCACCAACCAACCAGATGTGGAGATGAGGAAGAGGGAGTCCTGGGATAGGCCTTTGGGTTTCTGACTTAACTGGTGACTGGGTGGATGGGTGGATGGTGGTGCTACAAAGAGAGACGGGGAACACTTGGCTCCCCTTCCCAAGACTGAGCAGTGTTGCCTACATGCCTGGGGGACACAGACAGAGGTGTGTGGAGGGCAGAGGGAAGCCTGGGACCAGATCATCAACTGAGCGATGGAGATGAGACCATGAGTGAGGTGGCCCAGGAAGGTACAGAGAGAAACAGAAGAAACATGGGCTAGTTGTAGGGACGAGTGAGGTCCAAGGCTTGGCTTTTCTCTGTTGGCCCAATATCCTATTTCTCACTTTCCCCTGAGAAATCCCTGGTGGGTGATCTCTGCTGGTGGCCTCAGCTTTCCTCTTTACCCATTTCCTTATTTTACCTGTGTGGCCGCTCTGTTCCTACCACTCTTTTCACACTACTCTCTTGAAGATCACCGGTGCTTTCCCACTTCCTAAAAGCAAATCCAGTGGCCCTTCCTCAGTTCTCAAGTTCCCCCAAACTCTTAGACCCGACGGACCAATCTCTAAACTCTTTGTATTCCCTCCTCTCTGATCTTTGGACACGGCACAGTGCTGGTTCTCCCCTGGGCCCTGCTTCCCCTCTCACATCCCCCCTGGGTCTTGGTCCTCCCAACCCTCTTCATCACGCATTTTCCCTGAACTTCTGTCCTTAGCAGCCTGCAGCACCCTTCACCCAAGTCATAGCCTCAACTGGTATGCAAATGACGCATGTGTCTCCTTGTCTGACCCCACGTCACTCCCGAGCCCCACACACATGACCCATGTGCGTTTGGAAGTCACCATGTCTAAGAACAGACTTACCTTCACCCCAGACTTGCTCTTCTCCGTCACTTCTGTGAATGGGACCACAGTGCTTCAGCCACTCAGGCTGAAATGTCAGCCATCTTTGAATCCTCTCCATTTACTCGCCATTGCAATCATTTCTTGGCAGCTGACTAGTTGCCAAGAACCATATCAGACATAGGGAAATAAATGAAAATAAATTAAAAGGTATCACTCATAGCCCTTAGGCAGTACAGACGTCATAGCCACTTGATTGTGTATTGAAATCATCTGGGGAGATTAAGGTGTAGATTTCTGGGCACCAGTCCATTAATAAAGCCAGACTCTTGGGGTGGCCCCAGGGACCCGCACTCTCGGAAAGCTCCCAGGTGATTTGGATACAAGTGGTTTTCAGACCCTCGCGGAGAAACTGTGTCGGGGACATCCCGGCAGTCCTCGCACTCTCCTCATTTTATCAATGCTTTCTTTGCAAGATCCACACATTGGTCCCTTTGTATCGGATTCTCAAGGCTCCCACCGCACTTCAGTCCTTGTTAACTCATGTTTTGTTCATTTCCAACAGAGTCATGCCCAGGTTCCCCCATCCAATCCATCCTCTACAGCCCCTTCCAGGCTGTTCTCTCCCCTTCCTGTGCCCCAGGCTGACTGCGACTCCCTCAGCTCTTGTGGTGCTTATGTTGACTACAGTGCAGACAGGACGGTCACAGCTGAGGAACTGAAAAGTGTGTATGGGCCCATTGAGGCTGAAGACAGAGAAAAGGGCTCCTTTAGGTACAAGTTGCCTGTCAATGGGGTAACCAGGGACAGGCCTTAGGGACATAAGAGAATTATAACCAGGGACACACAGAGTTGACAGCACCAAGGGCCAGAAATGCTGGGTGACCGGGCTTACCAGCTGTCCAGGGAGACAGACTGTCTCTTAGAGAGACCCGTGGCCTGCCCAGCACTGCATTACCTCTGGGCTTCGGGGGCTGTGGTATGAGGCCGGCACTGGGGGAATATGGTAGGAACAGAATTGGGGGACCTCAGGGAGGTTTTTTCCACTCAAAACGCGTTCGCCGCCTACATCCCCAGACATTTAAAGAACTCCGAGCTATTTTCAGACCTCCTAGGAAAAGAACTGAGGTGTTAGCAGTCAGACACCCATCTAACCATTTCCTACGAGGAGAGCTGGCACGACTCACTTTTGATCTGAGGGCTTTGTATGCATTTTCCTGGCAAACTCTGCAGGTCGGCCGGCTGGGGCTGACTGCCGGAGGGCCGCCCTGTAATCCGGGGCTCAGGATCAGCGATGACAAAGGCCACCACCACGGGGTCGCAGCCTGCATTTCGTTTTGTGGAACACGAGGGGGCCAGGAGGGAACCCGCAGTGCACAGAACCCAGGGGGTCCCTGGGCTTCGGTGCTGCTGGCTGGAGAGGAGGCAGCAGCTTTCTTCAGGCCGCTCAGGTCTGGGATGTGAGGGCTGCTTCTGGAGGGAGGAGCTGGTGGGATCAATGCAGTCCCTGAAGTTTCCTGGGCTGGTGCCCTCACTCTGCCAGGAACCTGGGGACAAACGATTTAAGACATTTCAATATATTACGATGTAATTTGCCAATTTTAAAACATGAGATCACGGATTGTCCAGTAACAACCTCATTTTCAAAAAATCCTTCTCATGTTAAAAAATAAAATAAAAATCCCAGTCAGATCAAGGTATCCTCCTGACCTTGGCATTTACCTGACCTTTCCACCTCCCCACGGGAATATGCAAATGTCACGGAGCTCTCATCCAGCAGGGTGCTCTGAGCCTGCGCCCAAGGACGTGCTTGTGTTGATATTTCAGGGATGAGCTTGATGCCTGGAAACTGGGATGTGCAGATGTCACGCATTGAAGAGACTAGAGAGCCAGCCTCCACAAACAAGGCAGGAAAGGAACCAAGAGGCAGAAATCAACTAAGAGGCACTATTAGGCAGGTCGAGTGGAAGGATTTCTCTGTGTGCCCTAAGCTCCCAATACTTTCACATGTGTCATTGGGTGAAAAGGTGTCTCAAATGGCGCCTCAGGAGCTGGTGTGTGTCTGGGTATGTGTGAGTATGCATGCATGTGCATGTGTCTCTTTCTTGTTCTTTTATAAAAATCTCAATATATAAAGAATTTGCTTTACATTGTACAGAGTAAGGGTAGGCCTTTTCTGCCAGAAGAAGCTGTTGTTGCCTTTCAGCCAAATTGGAAATAGCTACTCTAGACAAAGATTGTCTATATTTGTATCTACTGTATATACTCGTATATATTGTATATATAGTATTTGTATGTATTGTATATATTTGCTGTCATTACTTTGGATAAAGGTCAAGGGACCCAGCAAGACTTCAGGATTCATTGAACAAGAGTAAGAAACTAGCAATCCATCGGATTTATGTGAAATTGAAATAAATTTGTATTAAGAACTTGAAAAGCATTGTTTGGACTTAAGTGATTGCCTGTCAGATTCAAAATCTGAATCAGCCCAGCTGGTGTAGCTCAGGGGTTAAGCGTTGATCCAAGAACCAAGAGGTTGCTGGTTTGACTCCTGGTCAGGGCTGTGGGCTCCATCACCAGGAGGGGGCATGCAGGAGACAGCTGATCAATGATATTTCTCCCTATGCCTCTCTCTTCCTCTCTCTCGGAAAAAAGCAAAACACACATTAAAAAAACCACAAAAAACCCCAAATGTGAATCATATCCCAAGTCACTACTGAACTTGTTAAAGCAATTAATTTAACCTGAAAATCAAAAAGCCTTGCTGAAACTTGTCAAGGCCCAGGCTCACTAGTCCATTGATATCAGGTATAATTTTCAAAGACCACATTCTAAGCATGTAAACGGATTTACGGTCATCAGCCGGTGTGCCTTTAAAACAGACTTCTCTCAACATTACGAAAGGTCAGCAGAGAACGAACCCAGGGATTTGCACAGATTCATTAATAACGAAACAGTTCTCCACTTCAGATTCCTCGGTGCAGCTTGCTTTTTATCATCAAAGACTTGGGTTGCAAGTGCTGTTCTGTCTTCTCATTTGAATATTTTTGCTTAGAATCTTTCCTTTTTAAATAGGAACGAAAGCTGTCATGGGAAAGATGGGAAGGAACACAGCTGCGGCGCTGCCCCCACCAGCACGCTCGCGTTCACAGGAACATTAGAGGGAAAGTGTTTGAAAGCTGAGCGCTTTAGCATCAGGTTTTATTTAGCTTCCACTCAATTAATTACAGTTCACCTTGGAAAATTCTCTAAAAATTTAAAACACAACTAGTTGCAGGCCCTGGATTTTCCACTAGAAAAAATTTAAAACTCATCAGTTTTTAGTGCTTTCTCATACAATGGAATGAACTTGTTTTTCTATCGAGGAAATGTCGGGTATGACACTGTTTTGTAATTTTTGGTTACAATCGTGATTGCTATCATGCCAAGAAAACCCATTTCTCTTTGCTGCCCCTCCATTTATTTCCTTCATATCCTTCCCTTTGCATTCAGTCTGTGAAGTGGCTCATGAATAGAACAATAAACATGGACGAGAGGTCAATAGGCTCTTTGAGGGATTCTGACCTGTTGGCTGACCTGGGGCTGGAGGAGGCCTGGTCAGCCTGAATCAGTGTTTGTGTAGATGTGATTGGAACAGGTGGCTGGGGGCCAAGGGCATCCTGGTGTTCCCTACCTTAGCTCATTCCCAGGAGGAAGGACGGGGTGACCCCAGTCTCAGGAGCCTCATACCCTGGAGCCCCCTTTCCTCCGGGTGGTAACACTCACATGGGGAAGATTCCAGCAGGGTTCTAGGTTCAGGACCAGAACAACAAATCCCCTGGACACATATTAGCTCATTTGACAGACACAAGAACCCTAGGAGAGGATGGAAGAATCATACATGACAAGGAACCAGATCCTTTAAACCAGGGGTGGCGAATACCCGGCCCGCAGGCCATATAAGACCCAAAAAATCATTTGGCCTGGCCCTGCCCAGGCAACTGCAGGAGGGACTCAGAATTCAATAAATCCAGGAACTTTTTTCATAGCAACATAAATTTATATTAAGTGAATGATATGAAGCGAATGATGTTATAAATACCCAAATGGCCCTTGGCAGAGAGAAGGCGCCCCACCTCTGCAATGCAAGGACTTATGCCTCCAGATATTTACTTTCTATTTAAAAATCTTTTCAGATTTTATAAATATAGGATCAGGGGAATGAATGCAGATCATAAAACCCTATAAAGCTATTTATTAACCAGAAATTTGATTTTGAGCTTTCTGGGACCAAAGCAAATTGGGAAGCCCAGTCAATTACATGACTCATATTTATTAGGACCAAGAATGCTTTGGTGAGCCCTGGCCAGTTTGGCTCAGTGGCTAGAGCGTCGGCCTGTGGACTGAAGAGTCCCAGGTTCGATTCCGG